TCGGCTGAGAATTATGAGAGAAGAGGGTGACGTTAATGAGCGAACGATGCTTTTTACGGCGCTCAAACTCCGAGCTCGAAAATTCGCAAAGTCGCGGAAATTTCAATTATGTCACGGCAAGGAGAACAATTGAGGGGTGAGAATTATGAGACAAGAGGGTGACGTTAACAGGCGAATGATGTTTTTTATAGCGCTCAAATTGCGAGCTCGAAAACTCGCAGTCTCGGAAATTTCAATTATGTCGCGGTAAGGAGAACAATTGAGGGGTGAGAATTATAAGAGAAGAGGGTGATGTTAATAGGCGAATGATGCTTTGTACGGCGCTTAAACTCCGAGTTTCAAAACTCGTAAAGTCGCGGAAATTTCAATTGTGTCGTGGTAAGGAGAACAATTGAAGGGTGAGAATTATGAGAGAAGAGGGTGACGTTAACAGGCGAATGATGTTTTTTATAGCGCTCAAATTGCGAGCTCGAAAACTCGCAAAGTCGCGGAAATTTCAATTATGTCGCGGTAAGGAGAACAATTGGGGGGTGAGAATTATGAGACAAGAGGGTGACGTTAACAAGCGAATGATATTTTTTACGGTGCTCAAACTCCGAGCTCGAAAACTCGCAAAGTCGCGGAAATTTCAATTATTTCGCGGTAAGGAGAACAATTGAGGGATGAGAATTACAAGAGAAGAGGGTGATGTTAACGGGTGAATAAATGGCGCTCGGAAATTCACAAGATGTAAGGTCTCGAAAATTTCAATAACGTCGCTAGAGAAATGACACTCCCAAAATTACGAGAGAAGCTTTATGACGTTAACGGGGGAATAAATGATACTTCGAACGCCCAAAGGACGAGCTGAAAAATCCCGGCAAAGCGGGAACTCTCCTAAATCGAGCCCCGCGTCTTTCACGTTGACTCGGATTTATTATGAATTTATGAACGGGGGTTAAAAAGCGGCCAAGCCTCGAGGACGGCCCCGTGGGAAGGCGGCCTTTTTCCCGAGGGCCGCGTTATGAATTATCAAATTGAATCTCGGGAGGCGATTTGCATGTCGCAGGGGCCGAGTGCGCAAATAAACGGCGGATGCATTCCGCGCCGCGCCACTAAATCCAGCCGGATGCTTAAATATGCTGATTCGACGCTGCAGGTGGCGGCCAATGGCCGGCGACCGATTTCGAGCGAACAACGGCCCCTCGAAATCATGGAACGGCGATCTTCGGCTCCACCGAAGGCTTGCCGAAAAATCTTAGAGGAATCCCTCGGACATTCCTACGCGCAAGGGCGGTCATAAAAAAGTGTGCGCCCACCTTTAGCCCGTCAAGAATCCGCCGCGACGGGTATACCGAGCGGCCGTTCCGGAGCCAATCGACGTGCCATCGGCGGGACTCGTGTACCAATTAGCGAAACGCGTGCCGAAAATCCTAATGGGCCGTTAATCAGGAAATTCGCGCGATCTCGGCGAGACCAGAGAGAATTGCACTCGAGATGTTGCCGCGTGATAAGGAATCTCCTCCTCGGGTCGCGATTATCACCTGACCCTTCGTTTTCTTTCTTCTGGGGAGGGGCAGTGCTTGATAAGGGTTTAATAAGGCACGGATAAGGGATGAAACGTCTCGGCACGAATGGGGATGCAAACGGGAGAACTGGTTAATGCACTCGCCACACCCCGAGATTGTGAACAATTATTAATTAACAATTATTAATGCAATCCGTGACTCGACCGGCCCATAAAAACTCCACAGGATACGCGCTCGCTAAAAGTTGCTTAACATTTCCACAGGGCATTTCGAGGCGCTTCGCGACATTTCCCATAACGCGCCGTGATATTAAACTCGAGAATTAGACCGATGTAATTCGATAGATGGAAATAAATTCCCCAATTGTGTGATGTATCTCGATAAATAAAAATAAATGTCAGCGCCGCAAGGTTTTTCAGCCAAGCCGACGTCGATTTACGAAATTCACCGTGGATTTATTTATTCCTACGCAGAGGACCGAACTCGGGAATCCCCTAAATCGGGCCTCTGGGCGTTTCGCGGCAATTTGCGTAATGCGCCGTCGTATTAAACTCCACCATTAGGTGGAGAAGTACGAGGTGCTAAAGGTGACGGGCTCGAGGAACGGTAGTCGCGGGCCTGCGGCTTTACGGCCAATTTGCGCCCGCTCGTATCTCCCGACCGAAATACGCGCGACCCCGGCACCATCCGCGGATCCATCCTCGGCCGTCTTTCTCGATCGGCCGATTTTCGCGAGGCCTCGACTAATCCGCGTAACGCGCTCCGCATAAACTAGACCGCACCGGACGAGCTACGAGGCGCTAAAAACGCCTGCCCTAGCTGTTAGGCTGGATTTATGCTCCCAAGGGCATAATTCTTAGGGTGCTCCTTGCCGAGACTGATTCAATACGAAAAACTCATTTTTTAAATGAAAAAAAAAATAGTTTTCACTGCATTTTCACGATAATGCAATAATTTCGGTCACCATACTATAAGTACATATGTGCCCATAATTATGAAAGTGGTCTAAGTCAAAATTAAAAAAAAAACATGAGTTTATCAGTTATTTCACGCCATATTATTTCAAACGAAATTAATTCAATGTAATTTCGAAAAAAAGAATATATGACTTAGACCACTTTCATAATTATGGGCATATATTATAAGTACATCATTTCAGACCATGCGCCCCGAATTCCTGGCGAATAGCTGCACAGATTACAAAGAATGATTTGCAAGGTACTCGGGGAGATGAGTAATTACATTTAGTCGTCTACGATAACGTAATTAATTTTCATATCCTCACGCTAATAGTTCACTTTGATAGTGTTTACCCGCTCCGCGCTTTTCTCGACGCTAAAAAGAAACCAAGGAAAAGTGCGTTGCATGCGTATCTCATTCGATTGAAATATTAATAAAAAATGGGGGGGATCCCGTGAGTTCGACTTTCCGCAGTGGGAAAATTTATTTAGCCGATTCAGGAGCCAAACGAGGGAGGCCGGTTTCGTTAATTGGCATGCGGTTTAAGTTGCGCGCGATGCCTTTCACGATGCCAATTTGCTCCGGAGTTTCCTTATGAATTTGTGGGCCGAGACGAGTTGGATAAACGAAGGAAAAGAATAAAATCGAGGCGCCACGTGGGAGCGAAAAGCGCAGTAGTCCGGCCGTTCCGCGTCGAATTTACGCGCACTCGCGGGAAGATCCAGGGAAGAGTCGAGCGGACTTTCCGCGCCGATTCGGCCGTAAAGTATAGATAAGAGCCGCAAGATAGGTGGCGACCGACAGGGCTGATTCGATCCGAGCATCGAACCTCGAATTATGCAAATCGCAAATTGCCCGACCGAACGGCGACGTCTCTCCGCGCGGAAGATCCATGCCTCCGGGATTTCGGGACTTCCGCTTCCGTCCCGCCCGTCACGATCGAAACCTATCAAAAGAACGGGAAAAGGAATAAATCCTCCCGCAATCTTGCAACTTAGTACCCCACGTAATTACGATAATCTCAATACTAACATACCCTGATAAAAATCAACGAATACATACATACACTTTTACACACCTCACAACCCTTTCTTTCACCCAGAGCAACGTAAAATAAAAAGTGTATAAATCCACTCAACATCATATATTAACCGCACTACCGAATCGTTACTTGAATTAAATGCGATATTACATAGAAATATAATTTAACTTGAAAATTTACCGTACTAATAATCAATTCTTCCCGGGGAAATTACTTTTATTCCTCACACATATCAACTTTAGTCGATAATCAACCGATGGGGTAATTCCCTACCACTATCGGAACTACTTACATTAAATGGTACTAAACAATAGAGTTAATTAATAATAGCTAAACCGATGAAAAACGTAAAATAAAGGCCTTTCATTGTCTAAAACGTGCCCTCTTATGGTACGCCAACTTATACGTTACATTTCACCTCGATAGTTATGGTTATCATAATTCGTAAAGGCGAAGGTATCGATAAGGCGATTACGGTGTTAACGGAAGTTGCAAGTTGTCGGGACCGGGAGGGCCTTTTGCGGTCGCCGAGCCAGTTGGAACGGCAACGATTTCGAGGACGTGCGATAAAGCGACTTAATGCGTCGGCGTTATCGGCGCTTTAACGATTCCACGTCCAGCCGTTGCGCGCGTTAGAGGCACTCTCGCGTGGCTAACGCGGCGCGTCCCATTACGAGCGCGCTCGCGCCGGTAATGCGCCTCCCGCGCAAATGTCAAGCGGAATCGGCGTGCCATTTAACCCGACTTAACCGGATGTCTAATTGAATTCGTAGCCGACACGGAGAGCCGCGGGCCCCTCGGCCAGAAGACGCGAGCCGGTCCCGGCGACGGTTTTACGACCGCCTTCTCCGCCGAGAACGCAAACTCTCCCAGGTCGGGTCGAACGCACCCGACCTTTCCTGCCAAGATGGCTACCTCGAGATCCGAGACAAAGAATTTATATCAGTTTCCTTTTCCCTCTAATGATGCTTAATGACCAACGATAAGACCCTCCGAGTCGCGTCGAACGCATCCGACCTTTCCCTGCAAAAATGACTACCTCCAGATTCAAGACAATGAATTTGTATGAACTTAATTTTCCCTCTAGTGTTGCTTAATGATGAATGAATTAACTCTCCGGATCGCGGCGAACTAAGCCAAACTTTCCCTGCAAAGGTGCAAAAAAAATAAATTGTATGGCAATGGTAAATTTGATTTTCCCTCCAGTGATACATTATGATAAACGATATGAATTATGCCGATGCCATCTAGCGTTTCAATTCCTCGGCCTCACTTTGGTGGTGAACGCAGTTAATATTTTGAAACTGTACGGGGAGATTCGTGGTATTGAACGCAACTTCGAAATATTAATTAAATTGGCTTGGAGTGGTGCATTCTGGGCGAATATGATTTGCAACGAAAGTATTGTAAAATTGTGAGGTCTTTTCATTTTAACGGTGTATTTCTTAAAAGGTAAGTAAGGTGGAAATGTGGAACGGTTCGAGACTCACCATGAAAACCATGAACCTTGATTGCAGGTTGGCGTTCCCGATGTAAGTCAGCGTTTCCAGCCTCCGCTTCGGGTCGAGACTTCTCGCTCCCTCCTGTGGGATGGCGCCTTTAGAGAGTCAGTCCGGTCAGAAGGGACGCGAAATTGGCTAGCTAAGTAACTTATCAATTGGCTACAATCGGCGATAAGGACGCCGGCTCCCGATCGGCATGCCGGCGTGTCGGTCGGGGACACCTGAAACAGAAAAAGAAACGAACTCGGTCAGCAGTGAGAAGGAGAGGTGATTTCCAATTCCTTCTGAATTTCATACCAACTTCTTTATCCGCGTCTAGAGCGGCTCGAGTAACGAAGGTCTGATAAGAAGCGGCAATCTTTCATTCCATCGCTACACCGAGAATAAAAAAATGTCATTCAACAAAAGAAATATCTATTCGCTTCGATGAAATTTAATTGTACGAATGCTTCGTCTACTCAATTACTTTGTAAAATGGTTGACATCAGCGTGTCGTTTCTACGAAAAATCGACAGTTGAATCAAATTATTCGATTACATCGACATCAATTTTTTTTCTCAACGGAATAACTGTTGTGCATATTGTTGAGTGCACGCCGAGTCTGCGCGAGGCACGTGCGCGCCGGTGATCGCCGATATGACGAATGATAACGCGATATCTCCAGACGGTCAAGCGCTGGACGCGATGATAAATCTCGATGTTGGAGAAAATGAAAATTGGGGGATTGCATCGGAACGAACGGTGCATGGGATTTTATTTTTAGGAGCAATCAATTTTCTTCCTCGGATTTCTAGGGGGGGGACCATGAAGTGCACCCGAGATCGTAAATGCATTTGTGAGGTATTTGCGCAGTCTTATGTAGGCCACTGGGAATCGAGTCCCGGCTGATACGTCACCGATCCGATCGGTGTGACAGCCTCACCGATCGAATCAGTGCATCGGTCGAATCACTGCCCAGGAAAAGTGCAAGCAAGGCTGAGGCGCGCGCAGGGCGCATTGCGTTGCACCGAATGCAACCAATTAAATGTCCGCTGGAATGGTTTCGCATGCGTCCCGGAGGAGAGGAAATCCGAATATCGCGGATGTTCCGGTACAGAAATCCGCCTACCCGCTGACGCAGCTCATTGACGAGAGTGCATTCGCGAGCGATGCACGCGTGCACCGCTCGGCGCTAAGTACGAAGGTACACCTATTTCCCCCCAGACCGGGCTAATTGCACCCGGAATACCCGTCGAGTCGAAATTGCCGGTCTACGGGCTGCAAAAAAATGGCAAGCGCCCGATTGCATCTGGCTGCACCGACCCGACTGTGCCGCAATTGCAACACTGATGAGCAAATGCAGGACCAAGACCACGGTAGTCTTGGTCTTGCATACTCGAGCCTTGATCTTAAGCCTCATCTCGCAAAAACGTGCAAGACCAAGGCCAAGACTATGCAAGACCGAGAATTGCAAGGCCAAGACTGCAGACCCAAGCAATTGCAATATCAAGAACTGCAAGACCAATAATTGTAAGGACAGGACTTATAAGACCAATAATTGCAAGGCCGAGACTGCAGGTCCAAGAATTGCGATATCAAGAATTGCAAGCCCAAGACTTGCAAGACCAATAATTGTAAGACCAAGACCTATGAAACCAATAATTGCGAAACCAAAAATTGCTAGACTAATTGTCTCAATACCAGGAATTTCAAAATCAAGAATTGCAAGACCTATAACTTTGAGACCAAATTTTGCAAAACCAATAGCTGCCAAACCAAGAATTGTAAGACGAAAATTTACAAAACCAAGAATTGTAAGTCCAAAACTTGCAAAATCAATAATTGCCAAACGAAAAATTGCAAAAGCACAACTTTCAAAATCAATAATTGCCAAACGAAAAATTTCAGGAGCAAAACTTGCAAAACCGAGACCGATTTTGCTCATCGATAAGCTTCGATTGTTCGCGAGGACATTAACATTGGTCACGACCAGTCCGGGGCGGTAGTCGCGGCTTGAAATTGGGAGGCTCGCGGCGCCGCGTGCGGCGCATCCGCGGCGCATCGGCCGCGCCGGCCGCGTGCCCGCCTTCCGACCTTCGGTGCTCGTTAAGCGCGGATCGGCCGTCGGGTATTATTGCTATAAACGTTTATAAACGCGGCGGTTAAACGGCGTCGCCGGCTGCCGTCCGGGATTGTCCGTTCACTCGCGGGCCCGCCATAAATCGCCGTGGAAATTGAAAGTCTTTTCCGATCGGGCACACGGACGCCCGCGGACGGCGGACAATTTCGCGCCGTCGCCGCCGCCGCGGCGGATACCGGACGGAGGTTTCTCCGCGGCCCCATTTTTGCCGCGACTAACGAACCGCAATCCGGTCGCGCAATCCGCGGCGGGGGGGGCCCTCAATTCGGCGCGCTCGTTCCGCGCGCGGAACGTCTCGCGGAATCTCGCGCCACCACGCCTCCCGCAGGCCGCGCATAAATTGCGGCCGTCCCGCGGGGCCGCGTTGTTCCAATAATCGCGACATCGCCGGGGAAACGAGCGGCCCGGCCGATAATGAACGCGACGACATCATCCCCGGAACGCACCCGGTCTTTATTTAAATCATTCGATCCGACACGCTGTAATCGATTTGCGCTAATGGCCGGTGAAATAGAGGTCGGCCTCCACGGCGAGTCGGGAAGTGCGAGCCAGCGATCGAGTTCCCTCGATCAAAGCCGATCAAGATTCGAGATCGAAGCGAATCGATCGGTCCTACTGCGCCGACCTTCGGTCCCTGATACGTCGCCTCGCGTCTTCATCTTGGCGGAATTCGAAAGAAGAAATTAAAAAAAAAAGAAAAAAAAATGAATTCACGATTTTATACCCCAAAGTATATACGAAACAATGACCAAAAATATTGACCGTGACAATTGAAAATCCCACGGATATGTGCCCATAATTATGAAAGTGGTCTAAGTCAAAATTAAAAAAAAAAATGAGTTTATCAGTTATTTCACGCCATATTATTTCAAACGAAATTAATTCAATGTAATTGAATAACAATTAATACAATGTACATTGAATTAATTTCGTTTGAAATAATATGGCGTGAAATAACTGATAAACTCATTTTTCTTTTTAATTTTGACTTAGACCACTTTCATAATTATGGGCACATGTATCTGTCAGAAAATGAGATTTTTCTTAGACGATCAAACTCATTTCGTTTCTCTTGTTAATGTTCACAGATATTTTAACGTGCAGGATATTCGGAGTGAATGCGCCAAATTATCTTTGATATTTCACGTGATCTACCAGATTTGATGGAATCGAAAGATTATTAACTAAGGGATTTTGTCGGGTCGATCAAGCATCTTGTTGTCTGGATAAGAAATGTTCTACGGTTGGACCTAGAAAAATTGTATCGAATCGAGGAAATATTTTTTAGCGGGTGGAGAGGCAACGAGGAGTCGATTTTCCGCGGTCGGTAGTTGGAGGTTCCTCGGTACAATACCGCGGGCGGTTTAATTGACGGATAATTGCGCCAGGTAACGCCGGACATTGTTAACCGAGCCGCCGTTTCCCGAATCCTGGCGCAATCGGTCCCCGAGGCGATTCGGAGTTCCCTTTGGGGCGCGGCTCGGAGCGCCAAGAAAAATATGACTAATTACGCCGAAACGAGTCCACCTACACGCCGGCCATTGGAAATCGACCAGACGTGCCTCGTGCCGGTTGCCAAGATCGAGACAATGCCGCCAGACCGAGCGAGATCTGTCGCGGTGTCGCAACGTCACCGATCTTGCGGAATGGCCGGAGATAAAAGAGCCGCGCGATAATGCGTTATCGGGTATGAATTATCTCAACTCATCGATGCGCCCTCACTTTGTCGAAAAATCCCGCTAAATAAAGAGATTACAATGAAATTAAATATTTCATGAAAAATGTCTACGAGTAAATTCTGTAGAGCGAGGACGAAAAATCCCGCTAAACAAAGAGATTACAATGAAATTAAATATCTCATGAAAAATGTCTACAAGTAAACTCTGTAGAGCGAGGACGAAAAATCCCGCTAAACAAAGAGATTACAATGAAATTAAATATCTCATGAAAAATGTCTACGAGTAAACTCTGTAGAGCGAGGGCGAAAAATCCCGCTAAACAAAGAGATTACAATGAAATTAAATATTTCATGAAAAATATCTACAAGTAAACTCTGTAGAGCGAGGACGAAAAATCCCGCTAAACAAAGAGATTACAATGAAATTAAATATCTCATGAAAAATGTCTACAAGTGAACTCTGTAGAGCAAGGACGTTTGGTCGAATATCCCTTGTACGCCCGGATGAAATTCGCCCATAAGCCAAAAGAGCTTAGCGCTGAAAGGCGTAAGAGAACGTGAAACTGGCGTTCAGGAGACTTTTCCACAAATTGGATGTACCGAACCGTTTCAAACTTTGACCGTGAACATGGACGCCATAAGGAAGGTCCCAACGCTCATGAAATTTCATTTCTCATCAAAAGTGTAGCAAATGTCTATAAGCAAATTTAAAGAGACTTGAAACATTAAATGGCGTCAGAACCCTCCTCATAGCCTCCACGTTGACCATCGTCAAGTTTGAAACGATTCGATGTACTCAGTTCGGAGAGAAAAATGTCATAAAGAGACCCTAGACGTTCCTTTCGCATCGGCTTAAAAAATGAAATAGGAAGAAAAAGAGAGATGAAAACGAGCCCGGCTAAAATTTCGACTCGAGTAGCTCCGAGTTCGAGAAGCATGTTTCACCCCCCCCCTGGGGCAGATAATCGCAAGGGATCTGCTTTAACGAAATCGATTTCACAGTTCCGCGACCAACGGGGAAATCAATCTGCGCGGCAATTCCGCGGCCCTCGCCGGGCCGGAACTCCGGAGCGGCGATTTCTGCGCCTCGCGGTCTCGCGAGATGAAACCCCTCCTCCTGCGGGGCCATTTAATTCGATTTAATAATCCCAGGCCTCGATTAGCGCGTACACGGCGCGCGGTATGTTAATTCCTTCGGTGGACAGAAGCGCGACGATCGACCGGGCCGCGTTTAATTCCGTCGCGGCGGCGGGCGGCCGGGAAAAACATTCCCGCCCGGCCGGCCGTGTCGCAACGCAACGCCACTGGCGAATAAAAGGGGATTCCATCGTCAAGGCTGCGCCGCTTTTCCAGGGACCTTCGAGCCACGATCGCACGGTGCTGTCCGAGACTCTCAGATCTTCAAAGTTATTGTTCCCAAGCTA